CTTCGGAGTCAAGCCAGTCACTTCAAGGATACCATCGATCCATCTTGCCTTTGATCGGCCCCTCTTCCTTTTTCCTTCCATTTTCCCCAGCATCATTGTCTTCACTAAGCTTTCCTGGCTTCTCATTATGTGGCCAAAGTACTTCATCTTTGCCTCTAATATCCTTCCTTCCAGTGAGTAGTTGGGCTTTATTTCCTGAAGTATGGACTGGTTGGATCTTCTTGCGGTCCATGGCACTCTCAGAATTTTCCTCCAACACCACAGTTCAAAATGCAGACTTAAATAAAACTAAATCACTCCAGATTGAAGGCCATGAAGTCTCTATTCTTGGTACCTCCAGTAAAACAAAATCAGCTACTTCCTATAATAGCTTATTATGTTACTATTATTATTACTCACTGCTTCATTCTCCCGATCTGGACACTTTGCTCATGTTTACATAGGCCAAGTTTGCACTTGCATTTTTAGAAAATGCATTGCAGTGCTGGCTCACATTTGGCTTGCAATTCACTAAGGCATCAAGTTTCTTTTCCCATGTTTAGCTTCCCAAACAAGTTTCCACTCATGTGACATTTGTTATTGTTGTTGTATTTCAATTTGAGATTTACTTTTTATCACTTATTAATTCCATCTTATTTGTTTTGCCTAATATTCCAGCCTGTCAAGATTGTTTCAAAATTGTATTCTATCTTCTATGGTGTTCGCTGTTTTTTTCCCCATCTCTGTATCATTTGCACCAGAGCCCCCGATGGCACAGCGGGTTAAAGTGCTAAGCTGCTGAACTTGCTGACCAAAAGGTTGGAGGTTCGAATCTTGGGAGTGGGGTGAGCTCCTGCTGTTAGCCTTTACCTTTACTATCATCTGCAAATTTGACAAGCTTTGCCCCTGTGTTTTCATTCAAGTCATTCATAAAAAAATGTAGAACATCACAGGACCTGAGACTGAATGCTTCTGTCCATCTCAACACAGCAGTCAATGACTACGCCCTGGGCATGATTGCTATACAATCATCTCTCTACATTTGTGGTTATGGCTTCTGAAGATTTGCTTATTCATAAATTTGATATAAAATGTTTCCCTAAGAATATCTTGGTCATCCAGTGTGACTCTGTGGTTCCTAAAAAGGTGTTCCCTCCAGTAATAAAAAGTTACTTTTTTAAATTGTGGATTTTGACCTTCTCAAGGGTCCTGTGCCTCTAACCACAGGGAATACGTTGGGATGGTTATATATTGTACACCCATGTAGTCATAACAGCATTAAACACATTTTATCATTTTGTAAAAAAAGATGCTGTGAGTAAACATGTTTGCTGAAATGATGATATAGGTGTAGTGTTAAATGAGCCAGGTTCTTTTATGGAGGCAGTAAACCCACCAGTGGGAGAAATGAATGACAGCTTTAATAGGCAGCAGGCAAAACCTGCAGATGTTAACTCCAAAGCAAACAGAGCAACTCATGTCCAACCAACTGAAGGGAGGCTGAAGAAGCAACACTGGAGATCTCTTAGGGCAGCATTGCTGGCTCTTCTGGGCTACACTGAGTTCTCCCAGTGTTTTAGAAACTCCTCTGAGCTATGCACTGTATTGATACACTTGTCTGCTGGATATGTATTCTGATTAATGGAACCTATGCCTTTTATGTATGTCTAAAAGTAACTGATAAAGATTATGCTGATTTCTGGTTATTCATGTCTGAAAGGTTAGGGAATGCAATCAAACAAGTGCTTGGTAGAAATTACTCCCTACATTTCAAAGCCCTGCCAAGCATGTGTTGATGATAAGCATAGCCAGATTTTTTTTCATGTCAGGAGCGACTTGAGAAACTGCAAGTCACTTCTGGTGTGAGAGAATTGCCCGCCTGCAAGGATGTTGCCCAGGGGACGCCTAAATGTTTTACCATCCTGTAGGAGGCTTCTCTCATGTCTCTGCATGAGAAACTGTTGCTGACAGATGGGAGCTCACCCTGCTCCCTGGATTCGAACTGCCGACCTTTCAGTCAGCAATCCTGCTGGCACAAAGGTTGAACTCATTGCGCTACCAGGGGCTCCTAATAGTAATAATAATAATAATAATAATAATAATAATAATAATAATAATAATAATGGCTGGTGATTATTATTATTATTGGCTGGTGCCTCACCAAAGCTACAATTCCCATGATACCATCGAAGTAAAAGCAGCATCAAACTGTATTAAATTCCACTGTGTACAGATGCACCTGGAGAGAAGGAACACAAAAAAGAAGAAAGGGACGAAATAAAGTAGGAAAAGGAAGAGCTAATGCACCCCGGAAACAGAATGAAAAAGGGGGAAAGTTGCACGACAATGGACTTAGCATTGTTCCATAGACAACAGTTAGAAGGTGTTTTCACATATAGGATCGAAGGTTTTTCTTACCTCTCTTTTAGGGGATTATGTACAGCGAAGAGGCAATGCAGAGAGAGAGAGGAAGAGGAGGAAAGGCTCATTTTTCACTGGGGTTTTTGGCTCTCCAATGCATGCATGCAGAAGTGGGGGAATTAAAAGGGTTTTTCAAAGGGGAAAAGTCAGGTGTCAAGGTTAGATAAATGTAACAGCATCAGTCTAACCTGCAGAGGCTTCTAGGAGGATTAAGCTAAGAAAGTTGATATAATAAGCCAAGAAAGTAAGCATATTTGACAATTTGCACATTCCATCCTAATTCTCCCAAATATAAAGTTCTTAGATTTTCTCCCTGCTCCAGTATCACACCTGTGTTTCCATGATGTACACATTAAGTAAGGTTGGGTTGACATGACTTGTACTTAATAAACTCATGTTGGCTTTTAGTAATCAGTGCACACATTTCTAAATATTTGCAAACCATCTGCTTAATAATCTGTAGCGGAGTTTTGCCCAGCAGCAGGCAAAGTGGACTGTAGTTTCCTGGTGGTGCCTTTCCTCATTTTTGAAGATGGGCACAATGTTTGCTCAGTTGTTATAGTCTTCTGATATCTCACACCTGGTATAAATATTGGAATCAGTGCTCTGAAATAATGTTCACAAATGCTCTTAGCACCATAGAGCATTGGGACTGGGACTGTATTTTGGTATTCTCTGATCATTTCTTAATTGTTATGGACTTCAAATTTCTCTTGATATCATTTGTTTTTCCCATTCCAGGCAGAACCCAAAGCACCTGATTTGAAGTAGGATAAGGAAAAATATGATATAGTTAAACCCCCCTGTTTAAGGAGCTCCATTGGCTGCCGTTCATCTTCCGGTCCCAATGTGCAGGTTCTTACCTACAAAGCTCTGAACGGTTTGGGACCCGCCTACCTGCGTGACCGCATTTCTGTTTACGAACCCACACGATCTCTTCATTCATCTGGAAGAGGCCCTGCTCTCGCTCCCGCCCCCTTCGCAGGTGCAATTGGTGGGGACGAGGGAGAGGGCCTTCTCTATGGTGGCTCCCCGACTCTGGAACTCACTACCTTAAGATATCAGACAAGCCCCTACTTTGGCAGTCTTTAGGAGGAGCTTGAAAACATGGCTGTTTCAGTGTGCTTTCCCCGAATGAAGGAAATCATGCTTGATCTGACCAATTTCCTTCTATATGTCCTCTGAAGCACTTTATGTATCCGTTGGATTGATCCCCCCCCCCCCCCCCCCATATATCACTCTTTAAAAACCCCATGCCTAGACATACCCTACATCTGGCCCGGCCATAATGTTTTCAAATCTTCAGTGTGTTATTGCTTATATGTCCAACTGTATTATTTATATTGTTTATTTGCTTGCTTGTTTGTTGATATATTGTTGCATTTGTATTTGACAGGCTTGGCCTCATGTAAGCTGGCCCGAGTCCCTTCAGGGAGATGGTGGCAGGGTATAAATAAAGTTTATTATTATTATTAATATAATTAAAGTATTATTATTATTATTATTATTAATTATCCCCAACTCTTGGTCATCATTTACGATGGCAAGGAACACAAAGAATAGAAGGACAAAAAAAAAGCTGTAAATGTAGTGAAAACAAGTGTATACTACAAGGATGGCAGAAGGAGATTTTCCTCTTCCCCCTCTGTTTGTGTGTGTTCACCTTCAAGTCTCCTGTTGCTTTATGGCAACCCTATGGAGCCCCTGGTGGTGCAGTGGGTTAAAGCGCTGAGCTGCTGACCGAAAGGTTGCAGGTTCGAATCCGGGGAGCGGCATGAGCTTCCGCTGTCAGCCCCAGCTTCTGCCAACCTAGCAGTTCAAAAACATGCAAATGTGAGTAGATCAATAGGTACTCCTCCGGTGGGAAGGTAATGGTGCTCCATGCAGTCATGCCGACCACATGACCTTGGAGGTGTCTATGGACAATGCCAGCTCTTCGGCTTAGAAATGGAGATGAGCACCACACCCCAGAGTCAGACATGACTGGACTTCATGTCAGAGGGAAGCCTGACATGAAAATTACTATGAATTTTATAAGGTTATTTTTAAGACTAGGACTATTCAGAGGTGACTTTGCCAGTTACTTCCTCTGAAATATGGCCTGCAGCACCTGGTATTCATCCACTAGTTCCCAAGATCAGACAGGATTTGATTTCTTCAGTATATTTTGGCAAGGTTAGCTAGGTATATTCCATATACATACACGTATGGAGAGAGTGAGTGAGAGGAGCACAAATGCTTTACTATCAGACAGGGATCTTGCTGAATGCAGTGAACAGTGGCTGGCGGACAAAAACATGGTACTGCGAGATTCTTTAAGCAGAGCGTCTCCTTCCATAGAAGACAGAACTTTGACTGTACCAAGTTTATCCTGAGGCGTGGGCATTTATTTTATTAGGAGTAGAATTGGATTTTGCAAAATGTAAAAACTTCATTTTCTCTATGATGCTGCTCATCCTACATTAATTCCATCAGGTATGAATTACTTAAGGCTTTATAAATCTTTGTTGTAGTTTAGGATTTTGTTTTAACAGAGGGGCTACAGAAATATATTGGTGATGCTATACTTTCATTCAAATAGTTATCATTTTCCTTATCAGTGACTCCCATATGAGTTCAGCAAGGACAATGGAGGCCAAACTACAGGAACATGAAGGATTTGGCGAGGAAAATTCAGGTAAAAAAAAGAAAAGAAATTATTTTAATTTAGTGTTTTCTGTCTCTGTTCCTTTAATGTTTAACATGTTCAGATGCGGCTACTATAAGATACCAATTATGGAAAAATTAGACATACTGTAAGCTAATGTAATTCTAAGAATATTGATGGAGTTTAGATACAGCAACTTTTCCTTCTAAGATGTATGATTTATATATATGAACTTGAATGTGGATTAGTATTACCAGCTTTTTATTTCTGATTCATGTTTTCACATTCCTCATTCAGTCTATGAGAGCAGCAGTTTTTCTTAAGAGTAAGAATAAGAGCAAGGAAATTATTCCTTTTAAGAATTAGAAACTTTGGTTATCTTGTAATTTTATGGAACATTAGATATAAAAGAAGCTCTTAGCAAATCTGTCCGCCAACTTTCTCCATGTCCAAAGTTTGACTAGTGCAAATTTTCATCAGAATATTTTATTTAATTGTAACTAACATGCAACATTTAATAATAATAATAAAAATAATAATAATAATATATTATTATTATTATTATTAATAATAATAATATTCCACCCTATCTCCCTGGAGGGACTCAGGTGGGTTCCAAACATAAAAGGCAGACATTCAATGCCTGAACATAATAACAATACACCCATAATAATGAAAATTGACAATCTAACATATAAAAACAAATTATGACTTAACAACTAAAATTAAATGAAAAACACAACGTGTTATCTCAGGCATGAAACAAAACATCAAACAGAAGTGTCAATTTCCCAGTTTCTTTGGGGGCAAAAGATGTCTATTGAGCTGGTGGGGTGAACAGGGCACGGATATGGAAAGCAGCTATTAATCAGAGGTCTCATAGTAGTATTGCCATCTATTCCTCCTCTTCCTTGTAAGCCAGTGAGCAAAGGTATGTATTCAGCTGTTTCTTGAAGGCAAGGAGGGAGGAGGACACCTTTAATTCCTTAGGAAGGGAGTTCCAGAGGTGGGGGATAGCCACGGAGAAGGCCCTTTCTCTTGTTCCGACTAACTATGCTTGGGACAGGGGTGGGACCAAGAGCAGGGCCTCCTCTGATGATCACAGTGTCCGAGTTGGTCTGTAATGGGAGATGCAGTTCGTCAAATAGTCTGGACCTGGGCCATGTAGGGCTTTAAAGGTAATAACCAGCACTTTGTGTTTAGCCCGGAAGCAGACTGGCAGCCAGGAAGCACAGCATGGGAGTAGTTCTCTCCCTGAACAGTGATCCAGTTAGCAACCTGGCTGCCAATCTCTAGACCATTTGAAGCTTCTGAACTATCTTCAAAGGTTGCCCCATGTAGAGAGTGTTGCAGTAGTCCAAACGGGATGTGACTAAGGCATGGACTACCATGACCAAGTCTGGCGTCTCAAGGTATGGGTGCAGCTGGCACAAAAGTTTTCACTGTGTGAAGTTGCTCCTGGCCACCTTTGACGCCTGGGCTTTCAGGGTCAGCGATGAGTCTAGGATCACCCCAGGCTGTGAACCTGTGTCTTCAGGGGGAGTGCAACCCCGTCCAACACATGGGCAGGTGGATTATAGGAGCTGCAGTCCAAGAATAACTTTCCCATGCCCTGCCAATTGGAGACATTACCCCCTCTACTGTGTGTATCTGTGTGTGTTTGCAGAAAGAGAGGGAGAGTATATAGCCACATATATTTGTGCCTCCATCTGTGAAAGACAACACTTACAATAAGCACAACTATTTATTTTATATGTACTCACTTAGGAAAGAAGAAGTCTAAATTTAAATCTATCAAAAAATTCTTTGGGAAAAGGAAAAGGAAGGAGGTGCTATCAATTTCAGAAAGTGGCAACCTGAAACCGTGTCAGTCTGCAAGCGATGTCACAGCGTCACAGGCCACCCATATGGATTATGATTCTGAAGATGAACTTGAGTAAGTCTCGAAACTGCCTTTACCAAGATAGAAAGCCAGGTTGTTTCTTCTGGTCTGCTTCCCCCAAAGTCCCTTTGTTGTATATTTGAGCATTTTACTATTTTGAGAATGTAATAAAGTCTTCAAGTAAATTTCCATCAAGTAAGGGCAAGGTAGGGAATAAATTCAGCACCAAGTTGTCTAGTTTAGATCCAGCTCCAACCTACCAGTGATTATTTATTTATCCAGACATTATATTTCCTGTGTTACATTTCTTTTTACATAAAATATATTTCTACAGTAAGATCAAGGCAAAATACATGGCCCTCTGCTTCCCTATGTTAACATTCACAACAAATCTAAGAAAATTCAGGCTAAGAGTAAAATGAAAGGTGACTTCCAAAGTCACATAATGAATTTCATATGTTTGACTCAAACCAAAACCTCCCAATGCCAGTCCAAAGCTCTTCTCTACTGTGTTAAATTTTAAATGTAAGAGGAATGTGAAGTGGGATTATCAGGAAGAAATGTGACTATTTTAATGAGCACTTAGCTAGTATAATCTGTGAAGAGAAATGCCAGTTTCCAAGAGCCTTGCTCCTGGAACAGGATGTGTACACAGGCACAGGATGCTTAGGTGGCACAACTGAGTAACCATAATATTCTCATTTGTAATTATGGATAGTGGTGTTCACAAGGGGTGTGGCTTTTGTGCAAGCACTGCAGCTCTGCATTTTGTAAGGGCAAGAAGAAAGTATTCTTCTCAAAGGGCAGGCTGTATTACACAACGGTGCCACTGGAGGGTGCCAAATTACAGTGTGAATTCTCCTCCATGCACACTTTATCACAAAGTGTGCTGAGGCTCTCCACAAATATCAGTCATTCATTTCTTCATTTAGTATTTGTAATATGGTTTCCATTTTTTAAAAATTAACAGATAATATAAACCCACTGCAATTAAAGATACCCCTTCATGACAGATAAAGCTACAGCCATAGTAAAGTAGAAATGCAAACTTTTGGTAGGGGAGTTTTCAGGAAAGGCAGGACTCTACTCTCAAAAACATAGATGAAATAAGCAAAACTGGAAGCTACTCATGTTCTCAATGCAACATAGATGCACTCATAGTTCTCCAACATCTGAAGGTTCACAGTTTCCTCAGCAATGGTTTAGAGGACTTTTTCAATCCTAAAATGTGTTCTGTGAAGAAGCAATGCAGTTCAGTATAGGGAAGGATGTTCTTTGGGCCAGCTGAGATGTTGTTGGAGGAGGAATTGCAAGCAATTCAGGTGCATGTGTTAGTTCATCCATTGCTTTTTTTGGGCATCTGCTGTGATTTCCTAGTAGTAGTAACACATAATATTCTGGACCATGCCTTTTAGTTCATTGGTATGAATTTAAAATGATTGCTATCTGAAGAATGAAAAGATAATTTTAAAAGGTGCTCCTACAATTGACTCAGGCTGGATCTACACTGCCATATAATTCAGATTGTCAAATCAAATAATCCAGGTTATCTGCTTTGAACTGGATTATATGAGTCTTTACTGCCCTATAATCCATTTCAAAGTAGATAATCTGGATTTTATATGGCAGTGTAGATGGGGCCTCAGTGAGAATGCTGTTATTGTTGGGTGGCCATTCTTCAGGAATCCCTCAAATTCATTACACAGTTATTCAATGGAGCATTTGAAATAGGATTAGAACAAGAATAGCAACAAGTGCTACCACCACTAAGTATTAAGCATTTATCAAGGTGGTTCAATGTAAAATGAACATTTTTCATTAGCTTTCGATGTTTTCCTAGGATACACAGAAGCACTATGGGAAGCAGAGCCCTGTCCCATGACAGCATTTTCATTCCAGAACCTACACAAGAGCCTGCTGGGCCAGTCCGGGTGTTTTCACAGGAAAATGTTTCAGATCGAATTAGAGCTTTGCAGGTAATGTAAACAATATATAATATATACTACTAGAATAGTTGTGTTAGTTTTCCCCCCTGAATGTAATTCTGGATTTTTCAAAACAATCTCAGTGCATAGAGTTACACTTTTAGTGGGGTATACTAAAAGGACTAAATATTCATATTTTCAGGCATGTTGTGTGAACTAACAAATTGTAGATTAAGTTCGACTTGTTTGTCCATCACTAAGCTGATCAGACCTATGTCTGGCTTAGGATTGACATCCAGTCATTTCTGTTCTTGAGAATTTTGGAGATAGAACCAAGAGATATGTCACAGAGGTCAACAAGCCCTGTATCAAATCATACTGTGGATACAGACAAATGACAACACATAGTGGAAAAAAACATATCCTATATTGACATTTGGCATGTCTGTGGGAAAACTGGGAGAGATGAGAGAATTTTGAATATGGAAAATATTGTTGAGTTTTTCTCATGGTTCATTTCCCCCATGTAACCTAGTACTTAGTTACTGATTCATAAGGACAAGAATAATATATTTCATCATCCAGCTGTTCAGTAATAGGTCGAATGTATTATCTCCTCCAGTATCCACCTACCCAGAATTTATGGTTCGTTGAGGAAGTTCTTCCCCTGAGACTTTTATTCAGTGTTGCCTGTTAGAGGATCAGACAAGGAAGTGTCCTCTCAGTGATCACAACCTATCTGTGGAACTCTCCTCCTGTGGAAATGTAGTTGTCATTGTCATGTAGGCACCATCCAAATACACATTTATTCGTGCAAGCTTTGTGTCACCATTGTGTTTCTTTTCTTATTATTTTTCTCTGATTTTAGAATTAGACTTCTGTATCATGTTTTATTTTTGGAAGTTCTCAGCTGTTGTATACTTGTTGCAAAGAAAAGCAGGAGGATACATACTGTAAATAAACATGTAAAAGATAAATAAATTTTCTCATGGTAGTTGAAACTCCAGCAGAATTGGAAACCAGGTATCCCATATCCATCTGGAATCCCTTCAAAGAGAGTGGATGACGCTGGGATGAACTCAGAAGATGATGGATTACCCAGAAGTCCACCAGAAACATCTTTGTTACAGGAAATTCTAAATTCTAGCACAGCAAAGGTATCCTCTTTTAGGCATTACATTTTGGAATATAATTTTGAATGTACAGTGAAAACAGTTTTTTATATTATGATGTTGATCAACTGAAACTATCTTCCAATAACCTGCACCTCATAGTAAGTGGTCATTTCAAGGAAAGACACAAGTTTGTAATGAAGTTGGAAAATTAAATACGGGCTTCCCTCCACATTTTCAGTTTTGGCTTTTGTGGATTTTATTATTCATAGATTGAATTAAAATGTTTGCTCTAGGAATCTCTAGGTCCTCCACTGTGAACCTATGGCCAGCTTCCTCTGGCTATGCTGGAGGACCCAGAGACTTCTAGAGAGAGCATCTCTGTAGGAATCCTCAGGTCCCCCAATGCAATTCTGTGGTGAGCCTCCAGCACAGTGGTTCTCAACCTGTGGGGCCCCAGATGTTTTGGCCTTCAACTTCCAGAAATCCTAACAGCTGGTGAACTGGCTGGGATTTCTGAGAGTTGTAGGCCAAAACCTTTGAGGACCCACACGTTGAGAACCACTATTCCAGCCGATGTCAATCATGGAATCAGACTGAAAGACATAGAAATTTCTAAACAGATACTCTCTCAGGTTAAAAAAATATTCCTTTGTGTTTTTATTTAACTTTGATGGGGCTCCTGTGTCCCTTACCCCAGTGGATGTGGAGGAATGATCATATAATGGTTCAATTTTGGACATAAACTTGAGGTTCTAGCTGTTCCATTCAATTGGGTGTGTTGGTACAGTTCTACTCTCTCTTTTATATTACAGTGTTGTTGTAATGATGATGATGTCGGGAAAAGGAGTAGAGCAAAAGGAATAAAAAGATAAAAAATGTCAGTGACATATAATGAATAAATAAATTTGGAAGGAACACATGGGAGCCTGCCTGCATTGCCAAGCACAAATCATTTTGGAGAATGCACAGAAATAGATGTGACTATAGGGATGAGAAGTTCTAGAAATAAGTTGGAGATAGATTTTTCAAGTGTCAGTTCATTGCCATTTTAAAAAACTGAGCTATTTCACCAGTAGCAGAAGACTATGAAAACAAGTACAGAAGTGATCTCAAAAGAAATGATGCCTGTTCTCAATCACTGGGCAACTTTCTCTTCCTTAGTATTGGATGTATAGGCAACTTTCTCTGAAAAAAATCAAATTCTCTTTCTCTCTTTATATTTCTAAGATTCCTACTAATTCATAGAATACCATGGAGTTTCTTAATTGCAGCCTACATTTTCTGAAGCCTGTTTGGTGTTATGTATAACTCATGTAATCTTTGTGTGTTACACCCATTTCATTCTCCATCTGTCATTGAATCTTTTCCTCATTCCACCCCACAGTTTTCTGACTCTCACAAGCATCTTAGCTCTTTGAGTTTAGCTGGAACAGGCAGCGAAGAAGAAGAACAGGTAACTTTAATCATGTTTCTATATTCTACAAAGGGAAACAATGCTCAGCACAGGCACAGTCCAATGACAACTGGATTATTGCATTCCCAGGTGGGGCAGGGAGGGGCTTGAATCTTCCTTGGCAAGGAAGCTACAGTTGAAATTGAAAATTGAAAGCTACAGTTAATCATAGTATAGGTTATGGAAATTTCATTGATATGCCATAAATTACCATGCTACTTTGTGTCAAATACTTCTGAATTTGGTCTTCAGAAATAGATGGAAGAGAGATATGAATTTTCAGTGCAGGTGCATCCAATGTAGTATTAGCTAGGGTACTTTCAGCCCCCTTCTACGATGTTACATAATCCAGATTATCAAAGCAAATAATCCACATTATCTTCTTTGAATTGGATTATAAGAGTCTGCACTGCCATATAATCTAGTTCAAAGTAGATAATCTGTAGAAGGGGCCTCAGGCTTTCAAATGTCTTTCTGCTGATTATACATGAAAACCCACTTCAAACCAGGTCATAAACATTATGTTCTAGATCAGTGGTTCTCAACCTGGGGGTCCCCAGGTGTTTTGACCTACAACTCCCAGAAATCCCAGCCAGTTTACCAAATGTTAAGATTTCTGGAAGTTGAAGGCCAAAACAGCTGGGGATCCACAAGTTGGGAACCACTGATCTAGATCATGTTTCAACCAGTCAAAGTGAGGAAAACAATTCAATTGCCAATGACATTTGCCCATGTGGCCTTTGATCCTTAAAATCAGTTTTAAGATTGATATTGTGGATCGTTTGGAATTTTTTGTGACTTCATAAAACCCTTTAAAATGTATCTTAATTTGTTTTCAAAATAATGTTTTTGTCTGTTTTGCATCACCTTTGGAGCCGTGGCAGACACATAAACAAATGTATAGAGAAGAGAGTAGAGTGGGCAACACTATTGCTTCAATTGGCGATGCACGCAGTGGATTACAATTGATTCATGCCTCAATTGTATGTGCTGTCACTTGGTTGTATGTGCTGCTGATTGAAAGAAAGCCATTTATTTATTCCTATTCAAGGCTAAAATTTAAAGGGAGGCATTGTTGTCTCTGCAGTTGTCAATATTCGTCCCAAACTGGCAGACTAAAAGTCAAACCTGCACTTCTTGGACAGAAAAAATAAACTGTCTTCATCAGAACTGGCTTTAATGTCTCATAGAAATAATAGTAGGCTGGTTGACTGACCATTTTTAATTAACAGTATTTGTTTATTATTGTTACTGTTGTTGTGATTTCACAAACAGTACAGGGATGGGTCTGGTCAGTGGTCCATATAATAAAACAGTGTTGTATACTTCTTGATATGTGTGTATCCTTCTTTGTACTGCTTTCTCCTCCCATCACGGCACTGTGTTGAGTGTTGTTTGTCATCTTTCCTCCTTCAAAATTTCCTCAGATGGAAAAGCAATAAAGAGGCTCCAGGTTGTCTGTTTATAGCTGAAGAACCCCAAGGGGGGATTGCATTTCAACACATTGAATTTCCCCTTGAAGTGTGTCTAAGTTCTCCCCAGCAGCCCTATTGAGGTTAATGGCAGAGGGGGTGCCTGATGTTTTGCAAGAACCCCATCACCCCCTCCCCTTTGATGTATTTTTAGCATTAGAAAATGTGTTTTCTGGAAGTTCTGCTCTTGTTTTGTTTTTATATGAATTTACGTGGCATTAACATGGTCACTATGGACTAGGAAAAATATGAGTAGAAGTAAACACCTTAGTATATCACATATAGGAGTGGGCCACCTTACTCCTGGAAGGGGAGTAAAGGGGGAGAGGATCGCAGGCAGGATCTACACTGCCAAATAATGCTGTTTCAGAATGCAGTTTAACTACATTAAACTGGATTATGTGAGTCTATACTGCCATATAATGCAGTTCAATACAGTTAAACTGCATTCTCAAAATTTCGTTATATGGTGGTGTATATTCAGCCTCACTCCTAGTGGTAATGGATTTTGCACCAACACAGAACAGTTTCTTGGGTTACAATACATCATGCATAGTATAGCTCACTATTAATAATGTTTTCCCCCCAGTAAATTTCACTGCTTGCAGCATTGATCCAGATGAGCAAAATAATGTTCTCTTTATTTTCATTTTGGCACCAAAGGGTTGGTTGAAAATAATACATAACTGAAATTGCGTGGATATAAACTCACTTCTTCAGAATAAGAGGATCTATTCTATTCTATTAAAATCTAAATATGCAAGTTCTTCATTATTAGGTGTTTATGTGTATATGTACCTTCAATTCACTTGTTAGCATATGGTGGCCCCATTAGTTCCTTTCTTTGAAATATAGACCACAGCACCTGGTCTTCATTCGCAGTCTCCCATCCAAGAACTAACTAGGGCCAGTTCTGCTTAGCTTCCAAGATCAGACAGGGTATTTAGGGTATTTAGGCCTGGAACTTCGAAATGTGTGCTAACTGCCTTGTAAACCTAGTTTCTTATTTTGCTTTGCAAACATAATACATGGTTTTCCTTCGTGCTGTGTTCCACCAAATACTCTGTCATTTTAAAATGTAGATTTACTTCTTCAAGCCAGTTTATTTTGGTCCGTGTTCACACAGATCAGAAGCTACTAACATCACTTCCTGATTTGTATTCATGGGTCTTGAAGGATACTTTTAATAGCTAGTTACAAAGTATGTTTTCTTCCAATTTAGAAATTAACCCCTGAATAAGAGAAAAAATAGGGTGGGTGTGAAGCAACAGCGACAAATGGAGGATTTCATTGGCAATAAATTTTAATTCCAGTGCTGATAAAAATAGATTTTTTTTATATTTGTTAGAAACATCCATGCTTTATTTTGCTCCCATGTTTTGACACTTTCTTTTCCTTTTTTGGGGCATAGGTTATTTCAAGTCCTTTGGGATTTCATTCTGCAGAGAGCCAGCTATTTCCCCAGGAGCCAAATTCTAAAATTATAACACTGAGAACATCTGATTGCAGTCTCTCGCCTCCTGCTGATTTTGACACTCCACCTGAGTTCTCTTCTTGCTTGGATAATTCGGCTGCCAAGCACAAGCTTTTAGTAAAGCCAAGGAACCAGAGATCTAGCCGAACAAGAAGACCTCCTTTGGTAATTGACTCTTCCTCAAAAAAGTGTGCTTGTGTGCCAGATAATGAGAAAAGGAGAGAGATGGGTTTGAAAAAATAGATACTCTTTCTTCCTAGATTTGTTCTAATTCTATTCCTGATTTGTGCTGTTTCATTTAAAAGCGTAGGTTTTTGTTACTTTCTTGTCACTCATGCTTAATTGGGGAAGAATCTGAATATAATTAAGTTTCCCAGAAAGAAAGGTCAAGCTGAAAAATCAAAATTGACATTATTTACATTAATAATATTGGAAGAGAAATGGTCATAAAGTTGAAACTGTCCCTGAAACTGATTACTGGAAGTTATTTGATCCCAGTGTGGTTTTTGTCAGCAAAATACAATATTTCTGTATTGTCTCCTAACTCACAAACAAATAAAAACCTGGATCACTGCGAGTTTTCCAGGTTGTATGGCCATGTTCCAGAAGCATTCTCTCCTGACATTTCACCCACATCTATGGCAGGCGTCCTCAGAGGTTGTGACCTCACAACCTCTGAGGATGCCTGCCATAGATGTGGGCGAAACATCAGGAGAGAATGCTTCTGGAACATGGACACACAGCCCGGAAAACTCGCCGTGATTCCAGCCATGAAAGCCTTTGACAACAAATAAAAGCCTATTAAAACAATACAAAGATAAAACATTTTAAAAACATATTAAAATATTCTTTAAAATCTCCTAAGCAATTATAAAATCTAGTTTTAAAACAACCATTTCAAAAATTTAATACTGCGTGGACCAGCATTGATTTGGCTACCCATGGAAGCTTGAAAGATGGGATCAACCTAACTTTGTGTCGGGAGATAGACAGTCAAAATGCTGCTACAGAGAAAGCCCTGTTATGGATAACCAGCAACCTAATTTCATTAGATGTTGGGATACAACATAGGACCTGCTTTGAAGATCTCAAATCTCTTACAGGCTCATAACGGGCAGTCTTTCTGTACCAGCATGCTGACTTTTAGCATGCTGGGAAGCTCTTGCATCTCTAGCTTTCTGTAACATTCAAATGTGCATATGCTCTGCCAGAACTTAAAATTTATTTACAGTGAAGACAGAAACTCTACTGAGATTTCCCCTGCTAAGTTTAAGAGCTATTGAGTGGCCACACAGTCACCATATGTATTTCAATCTTGGTCTTAATTTTTTAATTCAAATGTTTATTTTAATTTTATATTGTTGTTAAGGCATTGAATTATTGCCTATCTGTAAGCCGCCTTGACTCCCCTTCGGGGTAGAGAAAGGCGGGATATAAATATAGTAAATAAATAAATATGCAGAGTCACTTCAGACACACTGCCTTGAACCTTCGAAATATTTAGGGTCTATGAAAATAGGATTAAAAAATATAAGAAATAATAATAATAATAATAATAATAATAATAATAATCTTTATACTCTGCCACCATCTCCCCAAAGGGGACTCGAGGCAGCTAACATGAGGCTAAGCCCAGAATTACAATACAGCAAAGTAAAATACAACAAAATAAAAATAACAAAAATTAAGAAGAAAATTAAAATTCAGAATAAAGATATTTTCAACTTTTGATTTTAATGGATATGCACATGTTGTGGTTGATGAGACCGTTTTCAGAATTATGCCTCTCTGATCCTAGTGGTGCATCGGGATGAGGCAGGGAGTTGAATACAAGCGTTCCTATGGTAGGCAGTGTTGAAATCTGCTTTCTGGTCCCATCCAGTTCATCCATCCATTCATTCATTGAGGAAACATCTGGCCACTTATGGACAGTGAAGGGAAACAGTGGCAAAGATACTGAGTCTGGCCCAGTATTTTTCCTCCAGGTAATTGTGTAAAGAGAAACACTTGAATGGGGATAGATATAACAGTTTTAACATTGCTGCTCCATCAGATAATTATTTGTATCTCAAGATGCTTATCAGTATTTGTGCAGTCCTGGGCAAACCTACAAGAGTAATTTCTGATGAATTGAATTGGACTTACTCCCAGTTAAAGATTGTAGCCTTGATATTTCTAAATATTTGAAAGGTCTCTGAGATACAGTGCAAGGCATTTTCCTATTCCGTGCTTATCCTTGTGGAAAGTAGATTGTTTATACTGTCAGGGTGTCAAACTCATTTTCTTTGAGGGCTACATCAGCTTTATGGCTGCCTTCAAAGGGTCGTTGAATTCATGGATGGAGAATCCGTGGGTATAGCAGGCCAACTACAGTTTTTTTATATAGCGGTTGGTACTCTGGTTTTTACCCAAGCTGGGTCCCCAGATGTTATTGAACAACAACTCCCATCACTTTTGATTATCCTGCATGTAGACTGGGAATAATGGGAATTGCAGCCCAACAGCACTTGTGACTCTGAGGTTGGGGAAAGTCTGACATCATCTGCACGACCTTTGTATCTAAGTTCAAACCCTACTATCCTGACTAAACAGGACAAACAGCAGCCTTCCAGATGTTACTGTATCATGATTTCTAAAGAGGAGGAAGGCAGGAGTTGCAGTCCTGCATATGGAGGGCCACATAAAATGACATGGCAGGCCAGATTCAGCCAATTATCCTTGAGTTTGACGCGTGATGTATATAGCATTATTGTTTTTCTCGTTGCTCCACTAAACTTTTAAGATAGCTGTGAGATCTATGTTGCCTTTTAATATTAAATATTTGTACTTTTTGTAGTAGCTTCTACTGAAAGGTAAAGGTTTTCCCCTGACATTAAGTCCAGTCGTGTCCGACTCTGGGGGTTGGTGCTCATCTCCATTTTTAAGCTGAAAAGCCAGTGTTGTCCATAGACAACTCCAAAGTCATGTGGCTAGCATGACTTCATGGAGTGCTGCTACCTTTATGCTGGAGCGGTACATATTGATCTATTCACATTTGCATGTTTTCAGACTGCTACGTGGGCAGAAGCTATGGCTAACAGCTTCTACTAATTTTAAATCTTTTGTTGTGTGTATCACCTCCCCTTTCTTGGTTGTTATAGCTCAGTTTCGTGGCCAGTTGGGTTTTTTTTCTTTTTAATCACAACAGCCATAGATCAGAACGAAAATTGTACCTCTATAGAATACAAAATCTGGCTTTAAAACACCCCAATCCAAACTGCAAATTGGCAGAATGGATTGCAATTATATAGACAAGGAAACGCAAGAACTATTGGAAAATATAATGTACCAACTGCTGTGAAATCATTTCATGCATTTTGTCAATTCTGAACACTTATTTTACACAAAAGCCTTTTCTGAAGATATAACAGAAATACCTCACACACAAATAAGATGCTCAGAAGCTTTCAAATAAACCTTTCTCTGAGTTCAAAGTGAGAATGAAGAACATAGAATGAAAAAAAAATGGAAGATTGCTACAACTGATAACGATGGGGTTGAATAGTCTGAAACTTCAAATCAATAGAAATTAGGAAAACTCCACATTTTGTTATGTTTCTTTTGCACATTCTGTGTATATATAGAGTCTCACTTATCTAACCTTCGCTCATTCAACGTTCTGTATTATCCAACGAAGTCTGCCTCCTGCAGCTGTTTCAATACATTGCAATGTTTTGGTACTAAATTAATAAATACAGTGATTACTACATAACGTTACCGTATATTGAACTGCTTTTTCTGTCGATCTGTTGTAAAACATGATGTTTTGGTGCCTAATTTGTAAAATCATAGTGAAATTGGATGTTTAATAGGCTTTTCCTTAATCCCTCCTTATTATCCAACATTTTTGCTTATCCAACGTTCTGCCTGCCTGTTTATGTTGGATAGGCGAGACTCTACTGTATTTACAGTATATTCTGGCGTATAAGACTACTTTTTAACCCAAGAAAATCTTCTCAAAAGTCAGGGGTCGTCTTATACGCGGGTGTAGTCTTATGCATGGGAGTCGTCTTAACTCTATATTTTAACTGGAAAAGTTGGGGGTCGTCTTATACGCCCAGTCGTCTTATATGCCGGAATATACGGTACTTGGGTCCAATGCATCGAATCTAATGCATACCTCAATTTTCAAAATCCTGAAATTAAACAAAAAAAAAAGAAGCATTTGCTGCTGAATGTAATGCGCAGCAGCAAAAAGTGTACCAAAAAGATGTGCATTACTATTGTTGCCTGATAAAAAAAAATCACTTAAAAAAAAACAATTGTGTTAGATCACCAAAGCTTCTAGCGATGGAAAGGAAAACATTGGGGGCATCTATGCTGTAGAATGAATCCACTTTAATTGCCTTGGTTCAATGCTGTGGAATCCTGGGTGCTGTAGTTTGACTATCTTTTTTTTGTTTCTCTGCCAAAGAGTGCTGGTGTCTCACTAAACTACAAATCCCAGGATTTCATAGCATTGAACCCTTGCCATTTAATTAGAGGTAACATCCTTCAAAGAGGAGCTCCAGGTGCACCTCCTGGAGGGACTTTGGCTCAGTACTAAGATTATTGTACCCCAGTTTTGGCAAGGCCCTTTGACCCAAAAATGTGAGCATTATATTTAAGTAAATACGGTATTTTGTAATTAAATATATTCTTTGTTTTTGTTTTTTTCACTAACTTCTAATGCATAACAAGCAAAACCAATTCAAAACATGGTTTTGTAGTGGTTTTTTCAAGACTAGGCTGAGGATGTGTTATGGAGTGAGATGAAGAGAAATATTTATTTTGGTGATTCTGCTTTTTTAGCACTGGATTTATGAAATAAAGAAATGCTGTGATGTAGAGAAAAGATGTTTAAAAGTGTTTTTTGTTTTGTTTTTGTTTTGTTTTTTGCAGAGGAGCCTATCAACATCTCAAAATGAGTTGAGCAGCACTCTTGAACAAGATGAAAGTGAAGGGAATGAAATGGTGCCTGAACTGATCAGTGAAAGAAAGGAACCAGCAGAGCCTCCATCTGAGATTACATATGGCCAGCCACCTGAAATATCAATGGATTTTCACCATAACTTAACTCCCCAAGATGGAGATATATGCATTCTGCCACCCATTACTGACTTGGATTTACTGCTCAATGAATATAATCTAGAGGACTATTCAACTATGGAGGAGTTATCACCATTATCTTCACCTTCTGCCTCCAAAGAAGATACAGCTATCCTGTATCTTACTCCAAACCAAGAAAAAGAGCAGTCAGGGCCAGCAAAAGTATCATCTGGGGATATACACAGTATTTTACACCAAGAAAGTAAGCAGAATTGTGAAACATCATCAAAAAATGATAGGAATGTCATAGTTCAAAATGAATTGATCCCTTCTTTAGACAGAACGGAAAAAACAGCTCTGAAGGATCCTAAAGCACTTTTGGAGGAAATCTGTAATAAGGGAACGGCAAAAAAATCTCCTTCATTGACCAATTATGTCAGTGTTTCACCAAAAAATACTTTCCACTCCACAAGTTTGCCCTATCATGAAGACAACAGTATCAACAAAATGCCATGTACAGTCTCATCACCACAGATGAAGAGGCCTTCTCCCTTGACTCCAGACGCAATGAAACGAATCCAGAAGGAACCTGAATCTGATAAAGAAACCCATTACGTGGCAATATCTGGCCGATTAGTTTTGGGAGAGAAAGAGGAGAAAGAAGGCAGCGAACTCTACAGTTTAAGAAAATTTTCTGTTTCATCAGCGCGGGGGAGGCCGAGGACTAGCAGCTTGAATATGAAGGAAACTTTAGAAAGTGAGAATCCCTTGGTCACAAAGAGCTTACAGTTGAAAACAAAAAGCTCCTTAAATAATGATGTGGATACGAATTCACATATGGATTGTTTTCAAGAGAAAACAAGGCTCACAAAGAAACCGGCATCCGAATCTGAACCACAATTAGAAATGGTTGAAGGAGCGACAGACAGAGTAGTGGCTGTCTCACAACCCCAGTCCATAGATTCAAAACCAGTAATGAGTAAGACTTCCTCTGGTCTTCCACAGCAATCAAGTGTTGGCCAGACGAGTTATGAAGACAAAAATCCCTTTCAAGTCAAACTTAGATCCACATCTTTATCGCTGAAACACAGGGATGGCTTCATACCGGAGTCAAAGGAAACTAAAAGATACAGCGCAGAATGTAGTTTAGAAAAAGAGGTACTGCCTGTGTCTTCACCAAAAGGTGAAAAAGCAGAGGTCAGGAAGACATCAGATGTAAATACCAATAATTTTTCAAATGATGGACTTAAAATTAAAACAAAGATCTCTGAGCAGGGAACCACAAAGCCTCCATTGCCGAGGAAGCCCGCTTTGCAACATTTCATCATTAGTGGCACAAATACAGTCACTGAAAAGCAGGAAAAACTCAACAAATATTCTGAATTAAAAAATGAAGAGAAAGATTCGGAGAAGAAACAGAGTCCTGTTGAAGTGCATGGTAAGATGACTCTTCAGATCTTTATGTGTCTAAGATATATTTGAACTCATTTTTACAAAAATACTACAAAAGCATTTTTGCCACTTGTGTTGTGTAGCTGTCAATTGTACCTAATATTGGATGAGAGGTTTAAATTTTGCAGCATTTCTTGCATTTGAATTCTGCAGAGTAATGTAGCTTGCACAGGACTAACATCCTTTATCCAGAATTCCAAAATAGTCTAACTTCAACTCTTGATAGTTGAATATACACAAACTTTATTTTGTGCACAGAATTATTAAAATATAGTATAAAATTACCTTCAAACTATCTGTGTATGGCATATATCAAACTGAAAGGTATTCCATGTTTATCTCCAAGAGACCTCATTATGTATAAACATACAGGTATTCCAAAATCGGGGGGGGGGGGACTTGAAATGACAAACACTTATTGTCCCAAACATTTTTTGGATAAGGAACTCTCAACTGTATACTATACTGTATTGTTATTGTTTAAAGCATATTTTTACATAGTAGCACTTGACCTATGGGAAATGCTACAGCTCARTGAAATAGTTGCATGTCTCAGAGATCAGACCTGCAGATAAGGCTGTTTATCTTTTAGTGACCAGTCACAAAGCACACTGAAAACAAAATACGTAGCTGATGACAATCAAATGCTGTGACAAATAGATGTGTTTTGCCACTTTTGGAGAGTTGAAAAACAGCCCATAATCTTATTATCTAATTTGATCCTCAGTCAACACAATTAAAGGTGCTTGTGGGTAGGCACTTCCTTCTGCTATCAAAATGACCTGGAAAATTAGAAAACATTAAATCTGATACTAGTCTTAAAAATGAGACTTATTTTTGGACATTAGTGTTCTCCTTCCTCCTCCTTCAAGTATAAGTTTGGTTTATCTATATTTCCATTCAGAGCTGAAATGCTTTTGTGGTTGAGACTAAAAATGTTTTCCTCTCTTTTTCCTTGCCCCTTTTCCGTATTTCAGGAGCTATCTAATGTGTTTTTCTTTTTTGAAGCACTTGTCAAATAATCCCACTTGAAAAGTTGTTTGGCATAATTTTAAAAATGGAAAAGCTTGCCATCTGCCAAAAGCAGCTTACTTAAGTGAAGCTAGGATGTGTGCCAAAAATGTTTGAATGCAGCACACAGTGGGTTCACCACTTAAATTGTGTATATCTGGATGCATCCTTAAAACAAAATGAAATATCTGCTTCTCAGGGCAGAGCTAAGTTGGGCCCCCATGCTGCCCTGTGTGTTTGTATAGATGTGATTTACACTGAAATTTCAAAAAAGAACTAGAAAGCCATGGCAGCTCAGTGGTGTCTAACCCATTTTCCTCAGCCTTTGGGTTGCCTTCAAAGGGTTATTGAATCTGTGGACAGAAAATCCATGGATACAGAGGGTCAATTTTTTTTTACATAGTGGTCGGTACTCTATAGTTTTTACCCAGTTTAGATCCCCAGATATTATTGAAAGACAACTCCCATAGCTTCTGATTATTCACCATGTGGACCAGGGATAATGGGAATTACAACCCATTAGCACTTGTGGCTCTGAGGAAAGATTTAAGCACATTTTAAAGCTAGGCGTCATATCCACAAACCTTGTATCTAAATTCAAATCCCATCAGCTCTTATCATGATATCCAATGACAAGGATTACAGGAGTTATAGTCCAGCATCTGGAGGGCCACATAAAATGACATTGCAGGATGTCATCGGACCATGAGCCTTGAGTTTGACACATATGCTCTAAGGATATATCAACACTTTAGAAATAATGCAGTTCAACACCACTTTAACTGTTATAGCTTAATGCAATGTAATCCTGGGCCTTGCAGTTTTACACGATCTTAACTTTCTCTGCCAAATAGTGTCAGTCCCTCAATAAACAGCAACTCCTAGGATTCCATTGCATTGGGCCATGGCAGTCAAAGAGATGCCAAAGTGCACCTATTCTACAAGGGGGGACACCCTAAAACATCTTTGGCCACAATGCACCCTAAGACATCTTTGACCATGATATATCTCAGTTATAACAAAATGTAGCTTTAATTCAATTGATTATTGCTGTGTATGCGTTGTATGCAAATTTAGTCCAGCTACATGCAAGAATCCCACAAATCCTGCTGAAATGCTTATAAAGCACAATGTAAAAACATATTGCAACAGTTACTTTGTGTGTGTGGAGGGGGGGGGGGAGAAATAACTCCCAGAATGCCCCATTCTGGTTGCTATGTTGGCTGGCTGGTATGAGATTGTAGGAGTAGCAGACCAAACAATAACATCACAAGCTCCAGATTTTAACATTAATGGGCTTGATAAAGGATCAGAAGTAGCCAACAAATAGGGTACTCTTGCTGATCATGAAATCCAGGTTTAACACAAAAAGACATGTCTTCATCTTCAGGTTCCCTTAAAGACAGTTTTCATTCCATGTTCTCTTTCAGTAAAATAATATTTGTGTTGATTTAGAAATGCAAAAAAGGAAGGCAAAGGGAGGGAGACATTCAAAAAGGCATTTAGCAAAGTTTCTTCTTTCATCTCTTAGGTTTCACTTTTCAAGTTGTAAAGATGGAAATTCAGCTGAACGTGCATTTCTTTTAGTGCTCTGATAATCGTATTGTATATAAATTTAACATTCAAAAGAAGTGAACCTAACAGATAAAGTCAGGTGATATTTTGAAATACTTTCTTCTAATATGTTGTTGAAGGCTTTCATGGCTGAAATCACTGAGTTGTTGTAAGTTTTTCGGGCTGTATGGCCATATGCCAGAAGCATTCTCTCCTGATGTTTCATCTGCAACTAGATGCCCGAAATATTTACAACAACCCACTTTCTTCTAATCTTTGATGCAGCACTTTAATTTCTGGTATCTTATTTTTACTATGGCTTTACTTAATGGTTTGAGCCCATATATGTTTATTCAAAAAATAAAGAGGCACTTGCATTCAATGGGATTCACCCCAACATTTTTGTGTCAGATTGCAATCCTAGTTATTTCAGGAGCAATACAAAACTCTGTTGTTTGAGTTATTAAGCATTCTTTTAAATACCACATTAACACACATACTATCAAATGGAACTAATTCAAATTTATATAATTTTGGCTGGTGCTTTTAGAAGAGATCAACTATGTCTAAACATGACTTGTAATCTCTTCGGTTAGCAAACAGAGATAGCAATTGGAACATTATTTATAAAAACATAATAAATAATAAATGTGTTCTTTGCTTTGTTATGCTTGGTTCAAGGGTATGTCATGATTCATGAAATGATTAATGATGTACTCAAAACAATCTATAGCAATATGCTATATGCTTGATCACTTCTGTAATTTTAATATTCTAGGCATCTTAACCTTACATTTAGCAGTAGTTTTCAAATTAGAAATCTAGATGTAAACATAGCGGTTTAACCCAACAATATTATTTTATGCCAATTGGCTGTGTTTTGATGTAATTAAACCATATAGGTTTTTGAAAGACCTAGCTTTTCCAGAGCTATTCATTTCCTTTTCCCTAACTGCCTCCACCATTGCCATAACTAGGAGAAGCTTCCTTGTTATAGTAACACACGCAAGTCAGACTATTAGACAAACTTTATTTTTTTAAGTGTCTCCAACACAGAGGTTTCCACAAATTCTTTAATGTAGAAGAAAGCATTTCCTGCTTACATGCTGGTGTGACAGACAGCACTTGCTGAAATTCTGTCTTCTGCACAACCATTATAGTTATAGGAGCCCTTTCTACTTCTAAGCCTTGCACATTACTTAGATCAGTGTTTCTCAACCTTCCTAATTCCTCAAACCCTTAATACAGTTCCTCATATTGTGGTGACTCCCAACCATAACATTTCCAGATACAAAGTATGTTCCTCCAGTAATAGATCTCATCCTAAAATTCTTAACTCACAATCCCCAGTCTATCTGATCATGTGCAGAGACTTGTGAAGATACTCACATTTTGATGTCGTTTTTGTTGTGTACCCTTCAAGTTATTCCTGATTTATGGAGACCATAAGGCAAGCCTATCACAGGATTTTCTTGGTGGGGAGTTGTATTTGCCTAAGAGAGTGTGACCTCTCCAAGAGTTTCCAGGACTGAGTTGAGATTTGAATCTTGGTTTCCAGAGTCATAGTCAAGTACTTAAACAACAACACAATGTTGGCTCCCACTTATTTCTACAGATAACTTAGCCAATATAATCTGAATTCCTTCTCTAAATGAAGATCTGGTTTCCTGCTTCCTTGCCCATCTAGCTTTCCAGATGTTAACAGGTGCCACAACAGACACACACAGAATCATAACATTACTGGATTGTTGAAATAATGTGTTGATAATGTGTGTAAAAATCAGCAAAATTTGAGGAGTTAGGTCACTTTTTTCTTTAGATGTGCTATTCAGATAAAAAGGGATGTAAAAAAACAAAACAGGCCTGGTCAACATGCATTAGATTTTCAGGGCCACAGACAGTTAAGTCTGCTGGACTTTTCTTAGTGTGTGAATGTTGTCCATCTCCTCTCCTGATATGTTGTCCATCTCCTCTCCTGAATGTTGTCCATCTCCTCTCCTGATATGTTCTGGACTTTTCTCAGTGTGTGCATATTGTTGATCTCCTCTCCTGGTATGTTTTGGCTGAAGGCAACTGGAACCTTTGCTCAGCCTCACCAGCTGGAAAAACTTTCAATACAATATTGACAAGAAATTTAGCTTCTTTAGATATCATGTTTCTAATCCGGTCTTTATCATAAACTAAGAGGTCAAGCTCTCATACTGACTGCATTCAATAAATTCTAAGCAGTTTGTGCCCAGACCTGAATTTCTCCATTGGTATAGTTTGTGGTTGCCCATTGTTGCTGCACTGATATCTGCTGAATTTCACAGTATTTTGGGGCCCAACAGGAGGGTTTTTTTCTCCATTGCATTGCCCAGAATCCTTAAGCCTGCATGGTCAGTTGCTCAGATAGTTATAGTCCAAAAAGGTAAACATTTC